GGAAAGCAGACACGGAGGCTGAGGGGCTAAACCCAGACCCCTTGCTCCCTTGTTCCTTCCCTGCTCCATAGCTGTGTCTGTTCTACCTCATGCCTGTGTTACTATGTGCCTCCCTGCTACCTGCCTCTGCATATCAGTGCCTGCTCACTGCTGCCTGCCCTGCTTTGCCTATATCTGCCCCCCCACACCCTGCCTCCCCACCCCTTGCCACTGCTCTCCTCTGTAACTTGCCTCCGTCCCGCAACCTGCCTCCCGTACTGCCTGTCTCCCCTTCAGCCTGTACCCCTTTCGTTCACTGCAGCCTATCTTCCTCCACACCCACTTACCTTCTTCTGCAGCTCTGCTCCTCCTGAGCAGTGAGCAGTAGCATGGCCCCAGCCTGGATCCAGCTCAGCCCTGCCAGGGAGTAGCAGTGGCAGCTCCCAATCAGGCCAGGTTGATGCTGGAGAGATTGGAGTGGAGAAGAAGGTTAAGCGGGGGAAGGGGCAGCAGGAGTCAGGGGAGGGAGTTTTGTGAGCAATTGCTATATTCCAGTTAGACTAGTAATACAGTGGGCGTTTTAATTTTTGTTAACTCAGAGCAAAACCCCTTAATTTTGAAATGTAGTTAAAAAGTATTATACTATATTGTATGGGTTTTCTTGATTGGCATTTATTATTTTATATGGTTTAATAACATGATAATAAATGCAATAAAAAGTGAAATAGCATTTGAATCTGGAAAATGATAGCATTATATATATATTTTTAAGTCAAAATTGGACACTTCAAAATAGTTTAAAATGTTAATTTTTTTTACAAGTTCTTGTGAAATCGATGCATTTTTGTAGTGTTCTGATTTTGATGGAAAATTATTTGGTGAAAGTTTTTTGGAGTGTGCTATGTAAAGGAATTCCTGACTGTAAATGGCTTTTCCATTTTATGGAGCAGCAGACATAAATATGTTATGTAAGCTCCTTTCTGCAAGAAGAGATACCATGTTTTAAGTATGAGTTGGTTATTTAAATTTATTATTTGATTTGCCATCGCAGTTAGGGGTGGCCATCACAGTGCTAGGTACTGTGTAAACGAAGGGAAAGAAACCCAGTTACTGCAGTGCACAGCTCTCAATTTAATATAAGACAACAATTAGATAGATGCAGATAAAAAACGGATGAAAAAAAAACAGTGGTTGTAAGTGGGTGACAAAAACAGAGAGATACTCGTCCCTCCTCCCTAAAGAGAATTGTTTTTCATCCATCTTTTCTTTCATTTTTAGATTATTCTGAGCAGTTCAAAGCACATAGATAAATCCTTTGCATACAAGTTTCTTCATCCATGGCTTGGCACAGGACTTTTAACAAGGTATAGTAAAATGCAAATGTGATTCAATCTACTTAAAATTTGCAGAACTTGAAGATTATTATACATGTTGCCTGTTTTAAGAGTATGCTTATGAACAGGCAGTCATCAAGACCTGGAATGAACAGATAAGCAGCTATTTCAAGGTAATTGTGTGCTGGATGGTACAGCAGTTGTAGCCATATTGGTCTAGAGACCTAAGGAATCAGAACTTGTGGTAGAGGTGATATTTTTTTATTAGACCAGCTAGATTTTTGCAAAAAAAGGTCTTTAATTGCAAGTTTTCAGGCACAAGCACCCTTCTTGAGGCATAGGAGAAAAAGATTGTAAAAGTTCTAGGTAGAAATGAAAGTTGATAGTTCATAGGAGAATTGAAGGTCTGGTAAAATTTCCTGTTTGGAACAGTGAATTTTATGCAGATTAGGCTCAGAGAAAAGTTGGAATAGTCTGTTTACCTCAAAGCTGTTTGGTGGCAAGCAGGATGTAGAGTCATATTTCCTTCTGGTTATGATGTTTCATGTTTCACAGAAGAGTTAAAAGATTGGAATGCTCTTTTGGGCAGGATTTTCTTATGTGGTGTGGTGAAATACAAAACATCATAACCAGAAAGAAATATGACTCTATGTCCTGCTTAACACCAAACAACTTCGAGTTGGTCTAATAAAAGATATCACCTCTACCACAAGCTCTGATTCTTTGTGTGCTGGATGTAGCTTTGACTGTTGTTTGCTTTTAGGTGCTGGGGGCAGGAGCTAGCCTGTTTGCTATGGTAAACGGCTACTTAGGGATAGACATGGACAGGCAACACCAAAACTGATGTACTTTCATTGTTGGATTTTTACTCCTGATTCTATAAGCAGTGATTCCAGACTCTGTTTGGGTAAAGATAATCTGGGTGTGAGGTTCATCTCTCTGCTTTGTTTTCAAACTGTTGTAATGGCTATTATGCTATGACATATTTCCTGTAATCCCTAATTTCCTATAAATACACACACCCAGAGGGCAGCTCTAAGCCCACACAGTCTGACCTAAAATGAGGTGCGTCTCCCAACAGTAGGAAGATGAGAAAAATCCTCTTGAAAGGATTCTGGTATGTAAGCATGGTGGGTAGGAGTGACTTCATTTGCATGCATATAACTCTCTCATACACAGAAGCTATGCATTACTTTTATCTTCTCAAATGAGAAGACTTTCAGCCCAGTTTAACTAAACAAAATGAAATCTTGTTGATTTAGCTTTCAGCTGTGCTCATACTCAGCAATATGCACTTCAGGGGAAGCCACATATCCCTGATGTCAGAATTCAGCTGGTTGAATTCTACTCGTACCGATAACTGCTTTTGAGTAATGGTTTGCAACTGATCCAGCTGCACTGATGATCCTAGCTTCACCCCCAGGAAAAAGAACACTGATAGGCCTAGAAAGTTGCAGTACAACCCTTTTTTAATTGAATTAGTGGAAATTCATTTCTAGGCTGTATGAACTATTATATTTGTTTACTGCTAATATATAAGAAGAGATTGTCAGGTATATAATCTGACGGGCAGTGCATTCCACCTGTCTATCTATTTATGGATTATGCTGCTATCTGTCAGTAGATATGCTGCTATCTGTAAGCAGAACAAGTTCAATTAGTAGCAACTGGCACAATACATTTAGCTCATTCTCAGTTATGGAACCTGTGATCAGGGCAAGCATGCACATGGTGAGCACTTTGCTTATGGAGCAGACTAATCCTCCCTTACTCCTCAGAGCAGTTTCCTTGTATTTTATAGCCTCAAGTTAGCAATAATTATTATTGTTTATTGAATCGTGTTCTTGGCAGCAGAGTCATATTAAATCCTGAACAAGTTGCCTGAATTTGATAATATTTGGGTTCAGAAGACAGGAAATTCTGACTGGGTGCATCTACACATGTGCTTTACTATGGAGTTGACTAATTAGCTCTGCAGTAAAGCATCACCATTTACATGTGTGCTGGTATTACGGTGCAGTAAATTAATTAACTCTGCTGTAGGACAGTACTGTCTTATGGTGGAGTCATTACGTGCACTGAAACTAACGTGTGGGGGCTGCCTACTGCCTAGCCACGTGGCTTCGCACGGTGGGCCCTCCTGTTCCCCAGCCAGTCCCTCTGCTGCCACCCAGAGCCCAGGGTTGACCCCTCATGGCCTCTGCCAGCCTGGGGCTACTCCATAGACTAGCACAAGGTGCTACTGTCCTGGGTGCACATGTAGACACCTGGGAGCATCTGTGGGAAGTTAACTCCAGCTCAAATGGCACTGGATTTTATCACATTGCATTAATTGTATGTGTAGATGTACCCACTTTGTGTCATTTAATCACATTCTAAAAATGGAGGTTTTAATGACAGAAGAAAGTAGGAGTAGTACAGTCAGGAGTAGGAGAAAGCAAGAAATAGGACATCAGGGCTGTTTTCATAGTTATAGTGGGTAGGGAGATGTGAAATGAGACAAGGTTTGAAGAGGCTGATGAGGTTTGAAGATTTCTTGTTTCCTACTGGAAGGTTTGAAGAGTAGGTCTAATGTTATTGCACGGTGTTCTCCAGTGTCCTGTCAGTAGTGGGTTAAGAAGAACTTGAGGATCCATGTAGGGGTAGAATAGACCGTCTCATCTTGTCTCTCCTGTTGCTAACCCCTTCCCAAATAGACATATGGAGCCTCTACAGAGCTACCTTCTGTACTCTTCTGGGTTGCACAACCTCAGTAAAAGAAAACAATGCAAATTTTACCCCATGAAAGACCTAACTGATCATTAGAATCTAAATGTGTATGGCGTTTATACTGTTGTTTGTCCCAATCATATCTAAGGGCCTTTCATGTATAATCAGTAGCAATTGTACAATTCCTACTGGCTACCATAGAGACTTGGGCACTTCTCCCTTTTCAGAATAAAATACCTTGCCATATTTTACCTTGAAAGTATTTCTGTTCTGTTTTTGTTAATTACTTTTTCCATATCTGTCCTCTTTTATGTTTAGGTTGATTTGTTTCAGAGTTATATAGGTTCATTATGTGTGTTTTTTGGGCAGTTTGTTTGGTTCAAAGTCAATATTGCTATTCAGAATCAAGTCAAAATAAGGGTATGTTTACATGGCTTTTCTGATATGATGTCCTGCAACTACCTTATGAGTTACCACTCTCCAGATAAGAATCCACTGGGGCTCCATTTCCCCCTTCTCCTTTTCACAGTGGTGTGGCAGTGTCTGTCTAACTTGCTTTTTTCAAGCACCAATCTAATACTTGATTATGAATTATTAATTCTGTGTTGCCTTTTTGCTTTAAATTTGTTGCTAGGGGTGAGGAAACCCCTGTTCTCCTGAATCTACTGCCCTGTCAGCTGCAAATCATTTTAAATCATTTATCTTGTTATTTGTGTATCTGAAAGGATTTAGCCAAATTAGCTATGTGAGGGCTAATTTATTAGAGCAGAGAAGCAGGGTAGATTAAGCTGCAGGTAATATAGCTATACTGTTACTGGTACTTGAGCCATTCTTAGAAATAGGCTGGGCATCCCTATGCTACACACCAGTGTACATTATAGACTTGCCCCTAATCTGCGAAGGCCCTGCTAGTTACCTTTTGCTTTGTAAAAGAAGAACAATGAAGCCAAACTATTGCAAAGTACTCTGTGTACTATGGCTAGAAAGTATTTTATATGAACATCATCATAATCATCCTCACTGTCATTATATTCTGCTTTCACGTATACTCTTAGAACAGGTGGGCAATTATATGGGCTGGAGGGCTACTTTTGGAATTTTGGTGTGCTGTTGTTGGGGGTGGGGAGGAGGTACTGACCCAGCCCAGTGCAACGGAGGCAGCGGGGGGCAATGATCCTATCTGGCCCCAGGCCTGTCCACCCCACACTCACCACAAGGGCACTGGATGAGGGCACTGGATGGAGTAGGCAGGTGGGGTCTACATGGAGACTGGCTTGAGACCACATGTACAAGGCATGCTCAGCTGGTAGGATTGGATGGGCCCATGTGTGAGCAGGGAGTGGCATCCAAGAGTGGGGCAGGTGGGCATGGTCGGGATTGTGGGATGGTGACAGCACTAGGCCAGGGCCCTGGGCAGAGCCACAATCCACTTCCCACACATCCCTGCGATGGGGGCAGTGCATGCAGGGTGGACAGGCTGGGGTACCTGGGCAGTAGAGCTGGGTCCGGCGGTGGAGGTGGAGACACTGGCAGTGGCAGCTGGGCAGAATGTGCCTGGGGGAAGAGCAACCAGCTGCATTGGCAATACATAGGGAGTGCACGTGGTTGCATGTACACCCCCTGAGATTGGCCATGACCCCCTGAGACAAGTGCCGGTGGCACTTCCATTGGCGGTGGGGATCAGCCACTAGGGATGGTGGAAGCGGGGGCTAATGGGCTCAGCACCCCAAACGCCAGGGCAACCTGGCCACAGGCTGCTGCAGCAGGGGGGAGGGGTGCGCCGGGCTCGCAGCCAGCCCAGCACAGCAGGCAGGTAGGTAAGGTTTGTTCCTTTAGTTTCTGGGCTTGGGGGGTGTGTGTGTAGAGATCAAGACCCCGCATAATGCAGGAGGGAGCAGGGTAGCGGCAAGGCCAAATCATTCATCTCCCTCCTTCCCCCCAGCTGCACTGTGGGGGGAGCCACTGCTCACACTTCAGGGGGAGCTGGGGAAGGGGTGGCATGTTCCCCCAGCCCCTTGGCTCCAATGCACTGTGGCCTTGGATGAGCTGCTGGGCTGTGATTGATTGCCCCACGACCTGGCCCGATCAGAGCCTCATTCACAGTGAATGGATCCCTGGCTGGGCCAGGTCGTGGGAGAGGCGGAGCCTGGTGGCTCCTGTAGAGTTGCAGTGCCGGGGAGCCAAGGGGGGACTCATGGCCCCCCCCCCCCAGTCTTTGCATGTGGCAAAGGTGGGCTACAGCTTCAAGGAGTGGGGGGTGCTCTGCCTATTCTGCACCTTGCTGCAGCCTTTGAAAGTGGTGCAGCCAGCGTTATGTGCCTCACTGCCCGGCCCACCCAGTGGCAGGACACACATGGTGGCGTGCCAGCCCTTCCTGGGGATGACTTAGGCGGGGCAGGACAGGGCAGTGGTCCTGGGGGCTCTGTATCCTCTGGCCTGGTGGTGTAGCTGAGGCTGGTCCTGCTCCAGTTCTGGGCCCCCCTGGGCAGTGTGGGCCTGGGGCTGGACCGGGGTCGGTGCAGGGAGGCAGCCAGGACTGGTTCAGGGCTGAGGGGTGGTGGACGCTGGTGCTGGGTAATGATCCCTCGCATGGGGGAAGGGGCAGCCACATGGTTGCAGTGGACCCTGGTCCTAAGCCCAATCTCTGTGCCAGCCTCACTCCCTCCCCGCCATGGCCCTTTTCCCTCCTTCTGTCTCTTCCCCTGCAGACTTTTGCACAGCTCTCAGCCCCCCTCCCTGCCCCTCCCCATTTTTTTCTCCCTTCATCCCTGGCCCCCAGTCAGTAATTGGTCACTGGGAGATCCTCCCCGCAGTCGGCCATCAGGCTCTGATGCCCCCCCAGTATTCGGAGGCACCAGTCACCCATGACCAACTGCATGCACCATGGCCCAGGCTGCCCCCTGAGCTTGGGCATGGTGGGGCCAAATGACTTGCTGTCGGCCAGATGGAATCCCTTTGCAGGCCAGATGTGGCCTGTGGGGCTGTGTTTTGCCCACCCCATCTTAGAATATTACTGCCTTAGTTGTGTTTACATAGGTGTAATGAATGATCAGAGTCCACAGCAATTTAAAGTACACGTGGTGGATTATATGTATGTTTATTCTGTATACACACTTATCACAACTGCTGAAGGTAAAGGCTCTTTACATTATTAATCATGTTGATTACAGTAGTACTGAGGGACTAAAGAAAATTTCTAGAGACTCTACTGGGATAAACTTTGAAGTGCTTACAATCCGACACAGGGTGAGGAAAGAACACCATAAAGGCAGCATATGTTCTGTGATCATTGCAATATTTTTCAGGGAGGACTGGTAACTAGCAAGAGATTTGCTAACCAAGGGGCAAAGCATGGGGGAAGGAGAGAGAGAAAAGTTTTAAGTGTCAATTATGTAAAGAGGGGTTGGAACTAATAGCCTGAATTGGAAGATAAAAGTCTTATCCAAAATGTAGAAAGTCTTATCCATGTTTTTTGTTCCCTGTTTGGGATGCTTTCTGGGAGGGGAGGGAGGAGGGTAGCCTGGGCCATCCAGCCTCTGGTTGTCAGGGTAAGGACACAAGTACATATGAAGCTATTTCAAAAGGAGAACGTTTCAAAATGTTACAGTCTAACTGCTGCATGTGGACAAGTAGGGAAGGATGCAGATGTAACAAAACTACTTCAGTTTTAACCCTGAATGAAACAGTGTTAAAGTTGTAGTGATTTGCTTCATTTGTATCCTTCCCAGCTTGTATACATGTAACAGTTAGAAAGTTACAGCTTCTGCCCTTTTGAAACCTTGCCCTTTTGCAACAGCTGCAAATGCA